ATATATATATATATATATATATATATATATATATATATATAGTCTTTAGTTTGATCTCAAACAGATCCAGGTGTCTTAGCAACATAACACGTGTACCTTGGTGCTGTGCTAGTCCTGTCAGCTGATGGAAGGCTCCTCTCACAGCATCTCTGCATTCAGAGGCAACGCTCTCAAAATCCTGTATGACAGAGACACAACGGTCATCATCCACCTGCACACGTGCGTCTATATTCAGACATTATTTGCGATTGTGTTTCCAAAGCGCTCCAACAGTTCTGGAGCAAACGGCCCTCAGATATTGTGGAAGCTTCTCCGCTCAGGTGACGGTAGATGAAGCTCCCTCAACAAGAAGAGGAGCATTCTGCACTCACAGCTGTTACATCTCTGAAGAACTGGCCGGAGTGTCCCAGCCCCGCAGTGGACAGCACGGGGGCGCTGGCAGCCAGAGCTCCAGCCACCATGTTCGGATACTTGAGTCTCATGTAGGCCGACAGCATCCCACCATAACTGCAGGAAGAGAGGAGACAGGGGAGCAGGAAGCAAGAGGAGCAGATACCACAGAACACTAGGAGTGCTAATCTGATACACGTGTCACATATAACACATTTATAGAACATATATAGATATACCTGCCACCAAACACGATGACGGGACAGTCTGCGGCCCCCAGCTGCTGCTTCAGGTCCCGGATCATGACGGCGTAGTCAGCGAGGGCCTGCTCCACCGTCAGCAGGCCGATCTGAGGGACGCTGAACGAGTCTTTGCCAAACGGCAGAGATGTGCCGTAGTACCTCTAAAGCACAGGGACAGGGGGGCACACGGTCAGCTTGAGAAGACATTCAAACAGATGAAGACGTGAGAAAGAGAACCCAGCATGCAACATCACGGAGGAAGTGTTAGAGATTCACAATACAAAGTATTACAACCTTCCTGCATATTTAGTAAATAGATTTAAAATCTGACCAAGAGCAAAGAGCAGCATTGTATTTCTGGTTGAACCTGGTTTGTACTCATCTACGAGAGAACATGGCGCACAAAGAAACCTGTTGAAGTGTGATGTTCTGCATGTCCCATGTTCAGAGTCCAGCATTGTGTGTGTGATATACGTCTTCTTCCTTCTGACATGTCTGAGATCAGTGTGCCGAGCTTCCCTAATACAGCACTTACATCACTATGAGTTATGATGGAAGTGACGATGATGATGATGAAGGTGTTCACTGTTGATCGTCACACTCGGAGCCCTCTCTCTTGATTCTCTGCGTCTCATTGTGTGATGACGGCTTGTGGGAAGTGAGAATCAGCTAACCACTCATTTCACAATTTATATTTGTCACATGATCTGGAATTCTCCTCAGCCATGTTTGAGCTACATACTGTCCGCGTGTCTTACATGTTCAGCGAATATGACCACGGCTCTGAGCTGAGCAGCCAGCTCTGTGATGAAGCCAGAGTTGGCTGCAAACTCCCAGATGTCGCCCTCGTTGCCGGTGTAGAAGAAGACGGGACCGTAGCCTTGCGTCCAGTACTCCTCTGAAGGAGAGCAGACACAGGCAGTGAGTGGTGCTCGTGTGTTCTCTCCCCTCCGGTCAGATGGAGGAGCTCTCACCTGTGATCAGGTACCGCTGGAGGAACGTCCCGTTCCCCATGCTGTTGAAGTTGAAGTGGTCCACAGTCTGAGTGAAGTACTTCTCGCTGAACGTCTCTGTCTTGACTCCATGATGGCTCCTTGGCTGTGAACATGAATGTATGAGTCTCTATATGAGGCTGAATGATGAACACACTAATCACTCACAGACTCATTGAGAGCAGCTGTCTGAGGAGCTCAGCGCTCCGCTTCACTGGTACAAACAGCTTCCGCTCCGAATACATCCAGTGCAAACAAAGCGGAAGTGAGGTTTCGGGAAGTCAAACACTGAAAGTGAAACGTTACCTGAAGGTAAGAGTACGGGAGGCCGTGCAGCACGTGCACACCGAGCAGGGCTACTGTCACCGTGAACACAACGAGCGGGCTGCTCATATTCCAAGCGCGCTGCAGACTCCTGCTCGGATGACTGCGCATGCGCATATCGCATGTGTCTGTCATATGACACATGTTATGATCCATGCTGCGTTTAAGTGCGTCTCGTAAGATCTACATTTATTTTTACAGTTTATACAGCATTCTGAGAGGAACAGGTTTGTCGCAGCTGGCTAGCAGGCACTTCCTGCTGCCGCAAACAGCGGCAACTGTTTGCGAGAGGTGTCGTGGCAGTTGCCAGTTTGTAGCCTTTATTTTTCGTTATTTGACAATATGTGACAATGCATCAAGGTCCTTACGGAGATATATATATACATACATATACACACATATATACACACACACACACACACACACA